GCGCTTTGGGGTCCTTAGGGACTAGTAAAGCGCTATACAAATACAGGCCATTTACCATTTATTACTGTGACTCAGCTGCACTACCTTTGCGGCCCACCAGGGGGCTTCAGCCTACACTTTGGGAATCACTGATCTAGAATTTTGCTTAATCAGTTTCTGGGAGGTTAGCCAATTGTGTCTGCATGTTTAAGAGATGGAAGTCCCTACCAATGCCAGACACCTGGTCCCAGGCGATGTCCATAGCCAGGTGAGCCATTTTGGGTCCAACTCCCGGCAGACGGACCAGCCCCTCAACACTGCTTGGGATATCCCCTCCAAACTCCTTTTGTAACATGGCTGATGTCAGCTTCAGATACTTCACCTTATTCTAAAGAAGAACAGGTAAGAAACCAAGAGGACACAACAAAGAACACAGCTGAGAAACCAGGTTAATATTAATATTTAACTTTTATTTACTGAAATTTGATTAAACATGCTAACAGCTATGGACACCATCTGTTTTACCCTCCAGAAGCCGACAGGATAGATGAGTTTTCCCAGTTTTTCATCATCTGTAGCGAGTATGTTTTCTACAGTGCAGCCGTGTGCTCTGAGCTTCTGCATAGCTGCTGCTGTCACCTGGTCCTTTGTCTGACTGGACAGCATGAGTGACACCAGCACCTGGAAACGTCTCACCTGCAGATGGAACAGAGGAATTAACAGGTTCTATTTAAGGGGACTTAAAATATCCACCCCACACCTACATGCGCAGGAGCCTCCATGTCATAGCATTTCTCTGCTCCCATGTTATCTACAGGCGCATCACGGCCGCTCCTCATCTCACGAATGAATCCTAACTGTTTCCTCCAGTCGGCAGGTTCCCAGCGCTCAGTTTTCATGGGAGAAACACGTTCATCCTTCTCGTATTCCACCTTTAACTGTCTCCTCCTGCGGCTGTGTGGATACTCCGGTAAAGCTTCGGTTTTTGGTTGCACCGGTGCCTCGTGGAGGAGTTCACGACCTGAACAAGCGGAAGCGTGGCACCACAGTAAGCACCATAGCTAAAAATTAAAACACAAATGATATCTAATATAATCTAATTAATCAAAGACTAGTTTTGATGTAAAAAAACAAAAAACAAAACAAAATCACAAAAAGAAAATCACCATAAATAAGATATTTCTCCAACCAGTTCAACATCTAAAGATGCTGAATGTTGGAATAATTTCACCATCTTGGTTTAAAAACAAACAAACAAAAAACCCCTATAATCTTCGCACACTGTCTTTTTATCATTATTTTATAAAAGCAAAACATTTTCAGTCCCATTCACCTTAATTGGGTCAATGTTCATATCATGGTTCATATGGTTGCTATGACAAATTATTTACAAAATGAAAATCAAGTTGTATTTAATAAATTTTGAAACTTAACAATTAAGAACAAATGTTTATTAGGAAAAAAGTTTATTTAGGCCATAAATCAAGATAGAAGTAAAGTGGTTCTCTCACAGACTTTTATATAACCAGACTTTTTTTTTTTTTTGCAGTTAGGAGTCACCCCCTGCTGGTCATCACAAAGAATGCAGGTTCTCTAATAACTAATCAGACAAGCAGATTAGCTTCATGTTTTTGTATAAACTCATTAAGACTGTCTAAAAACCCTTTAAAGAAAGAGACTTGAAATACTGAGCCCACTGTGTAAAATTTACACTTATTTCTGAACAAGCAAATTCTGTCTTTTTTTAATGACATCACAGAGTCAACAGATCTCAAGCTCAGAGTAAGAGACTTCCAGAATCTTGGGGCCAATGTTGCAAACACAATCTCCTTTAGTTCACACGCTTATATGATCCACAGCCAGCAGGGCCTGATCACATGACCTCAGGGACCTGATGAACACTGGTGCTCAACTATGCAGAGCTCTAAAAGTCAAAACCAGAATCTTAAAGTGGAACGATTTTCACAGAGAGCCAGTGCAACTGAATTAGTAACGATGTGATAGTTCAGTATTGGCTCAGGGGGTTGGGAATCGCATCTGTAACCGGAAGGTCGCCGGTTCGATCCCTGGGCTCTCTGTCCTGGTCGTTGTGTCCTTGGGCAAGACACTTTACCCTACTTGCCTACTGGTGTTGGCCAGAGGGGCCGATGGCGCGATATGGCAGCCTCGCTTCTGTCAGTCTGCCCCAGGGCAGCTGTGGCTACAACTGTAGCTTGCCTCCACCAGTGTATGAATGTGAGAGTGAATGAATAGTGGTATTGTAAAGCGCTTTGGGTGCCTTGAAAAGCGCTATATAAATCCAATCCATTATTATTATTATTATTATCAGAACTTGCTAGTTTGAACTACCAACAGTGGGAACAAAAGAAATTCTAAAAATTAATTAAAAAAAAAAAAAAAAAAAAAAAATCAGACCTGATGAAATAAAGGCATGAACAACAATTTCCAATTCGGAGTACAAAAACGTGTCTGCCCAAAAAAGTACATTTTTTGAATTTCATCTTGTGGAAACAAATCTTCTTCGAACAGAGTTATTCGTTTCAGCCTTCAAAGAGGTGCAACAAAGAGGCTCAAAATGTTCATATAGTAGGGCACATATTACAGAGACATGCTTCAGAGCAGGAGTGCCAAACATAAGGTCCTTGGGCCAAAATTGGCCCAGCAAACACTACAATCCAGCCCACTGGATCACTGTTGATGGCTGTACTTTTTTTTTTTGTTACACTGTATGCACAGTAATAAATAAAAAAAATGATAAAAATAGGAAATTTCCTGTGAAATAACCAAATGTTTCCACTTTATTATGATTAAGGGTAGTCTGGGCAATGAGCTACCAAAGTGTAGTGTTGAAATGACTCTTCTTTTCTATAAATGCATAGTTAAATATCTTTACACTGACAGAAAGGGTATTTTTTACTGCTCTGGCCCATTTAAGATCAAAGTGGGTTGTGTGTGGCCCAAGACGTAAAATGAGACTGACATCCCTGCTGTAGAGCGACCTTTATTAGTGTAAACAGGGTTTTGTGCAGGATAAACTGAACTCCCTGTTTATTAGCACAGACTCAGTCGCAAGTACAAAATCTGTCTCTTGAGTGTAAAGGTCAGTTTTCTCTTATGGATGCACAAAACCTTATATCCTGCACGTTCATAATTCTATTTCACCTGTTTCACCTATTTCTATTTCACATTCGCAGAACAAAAGAAACAACATCTTTCACTCTGTGCCCTGTAGTGTTCATTGATAACTCCTGCACACTGGGCGAGAAAGGTGATGACAAAGCCTGGTTTTCACCTGCCAGTCGCTTTTTTAAGATGTAAAGGTGTAACTGTAGAATTGGTAAGCAAAGCAAATCAACCTGCTCCAGAATATGCGCAAGCGCAATAGCCTTCTGCCACCAAAACAGCTCAAGTTAATTAATTTGTATCCACGTGTACCAACGTACGTGGTCAGTTTGTGTGGTTAGCGTTACCGGCTGATAAAGGAGTAGACGAAGCTCTTAGTTCTGACACGCTCTTCTCCTCCACCTCCACCTTCACTGGCACAGCGCAGACCGGGTCCTCGTTCCTCCGTCTGTTGGTGAGTTTGGTCCTGAGAGAGGCTGCAGGTGTGCGGCCAGCAGTTTGACTCGCACTCCGAGTCATAACAGACCTGTTCTCCATGAAGTAAGGAGAAGTCATTATAACCCCTCGGACTACATAACAGACCCGCGCGCTGCAGCGGACGTGAAGCATTGAACTGTTGCTGAAGTTAGTTTCTCATTCGTAGTTTTTGGATCGCGGGTGGAGCTGATGAGCTGAATTCGCCTGCAAGAGGAAGAATGACATAAACACAGAGACTCGATTTTATTTTGAAGATTTAAAAAATAAATCTTCCGCTCTGTTAATAAAACAATATTTTTTTGATATATGAGATTACACTTACACTTCCTGGTGGAATTGCCAATTTACTTTTAAATCTAAAACAAACAAACAAAAACCTACACGATACTCAATTGCGACTGAAAACGGGTCAGGGTTATATTATTAGTTTAACTGTAGACGTACTGAACCCCCCCCCCCCCCCCCAATAATAACTGTCTTATAATAGAAAGTCGAACAACGGATGTCGTAAGCGAGTCACTAGAATAATTACATTTTATTCAGGCCTGCATTAATAATAAAATAATAATAATAATAATAATAATAATAATGATAACTTACAAAATCTGCTCATTTCCAAATCCATGTTTTTATTCTTAGACCATACTAAGCTTTATGTGGCTTTACATGAGTGACAAATGAAACATAATCCTTATTTATCTTATACTGGGTCTTGATAATCTTCCTTTACTCTCTTTTAAGCCAACCTTCCTCTGATTGGCTGCCCCTCACAAACAGAAGGTTTGAACAGCTGGATGGACTGAAAGAGAGTGTTTAGAGCAGTGCATTTGACCCAAAGGTACCACTTTACCATCAGTGTGGAGCCGATCCTGTCATGGTGTCTATATTTTGATAAGTTTGAGAACCGATTATCACAGTAGGGTTAATGGAAGCTGCTAGTTGTATTCGCCAAATATTAGAGAATTTCTTGTGGTAGTCCAACTTCTGTCCTAGAAATATAGCCAGGTTCTTTTTTGTGTTTTTTTTTTTTGTCCAGAGCCCAAAAATAAAAATATTTGTATTACCTTGTCCATAAGCGCCACTCACAGGACCCCTGGCCACATTGCGGCTTGTAGCGTCAAAAAGGAACCAACTTCACTAACAGCAGCACGGTAAGCTAGCTGCTAGCTTAACAGCTAAAACCGTCTTACTTTATGCTAAATTTTGACGGCTAAACACTTTTATATAGTCTATAGGAAACTTTACCTGCGCTTTACTTCTTTGTAGATGTTATGGTTTCCCGCTTGTGCCACAACACTAAAACTCATACTGCTAACAAACGGACTAGCATACTTCGTATTTAGTCTGCCCTTAAAAAATACATTTCCCGCGAGGCAGTGCGGCAAACGTGTTTTTGTAGGAAGTCTCACTGTCAGAGCATTAGTGTGTCATCCGGTTGAGGAGTAGGGGTGCTGGGAGCGAGCCTTCGGCTGCAAAGACAGAGTTATATCAATGCACAGAAGCGGGCGGCTCGGCTGGCTGCAATCTGACGAAGCAGCGACTGAATGAAACCAAAACCGACTCAACTTCACTGAGGTGAGATGAGAGGGGGAGAAGGTTGCCGGGGGTAGGAGGGGCAGGCGCTGTTGTTTTATGCTACTAGACCTTCAGTGCCACAACAGAGAAATGCTAGCTTATTACAACCACTGTGAACCGAAGCTGAGAGGGTTTAGCAACGCCACACTACGTTTGTGCTGATATGAAGTGTTTAGGCTGACTTGTATCCGCAGATATATCAACTCTGGTTCGAGCCTACCTTGCACCGTTGCTGCTGCTGCTGTTGTTGTTGTTGCTGCTGGTGTTGGACTGAAACAGACCAGCCGTTGTCCGTCTGCTCACCTCCCCTCCCCTCTATCTCTGTCAAGTCCACATGACAGCAAATTCTTTAAACGTGCCCCATGGGTTTACATATTTACAGGCTGCAGTGTCAAACTTTACTCCTGCTTAAACAGTGGCTTGTAGTGCTATGTGGACCCACCTGTAATGTCATAAACTTGTTGCTCAAGTTTATTTTGCTGCTGTATGGTCTAAGCTCACATGCACAGTACAATAATATGCAACCCTTTAAAGAAATATAAAACACACTTCATTACAGATATGGACATGGATAAACTGGAGTCGTTTAGCAATCTCTTATTATCAGCTTCTCCACCTGCTAAGCACAGACTTCATATAAGCTAAAAATAAGTCTTTTTGGCCTTTTGACCTCACTTGTGTTTTTAACCTTGTGCTAACAGGTGAAAATCCACTGTTTAACCCATGTGTTAACCTTCATTTTACTTTCCAAGATGGACTTTTTCACTTGAAATATGACTCGACTTAATACACCTCATTATATCTGGTCTGAACAGTTTCCAGAGCCCAGCTCCAGCTTAGACAGTTTAAAAATATGCTGACAGGTTACTGTTGGTAATCTACTGGTTGTGAAGTTATGGCCCAGTGCTGATTTTTAAAATAACTATTTGTTATATGTATTTTTGGTGTTACCATTTTTGTGGCGAGGAAGCAAAAAGAAATTATTAATAGGGAATAACTGAAATGTTTAAGCTTATTTTTTTAGGTTTTCATCAGAGGACTGTAGAACAGTTAGCCGGCACAAAGTTGACAGGACAGATGGACAGTGCCATGTGTAAATCTGTACTAATTCTCAACGTATATACAGTCACGTGAAAGGGTTATCACACGACCCTACAGACTCATGTGAGTAGTAAGTATATATAATTTTTCAGTAGCTAGTAAAGCCACTCTTAAAGTCCTTCTACAGCATTTCAACTGGGCTGAGGTCTGGACTTGTAGCACTTTAATTCTTTTCTTTTTCAGCCATTTTTTGTTTGGTAGATTTACAGGTGTATTTGGACTCATTGTCTTTTTGCATGACCCAATTTGGGCCAAGCTTCTGCTGTCAGTTAGATGGCCTCAAGATTGCCTCTAGAATACTTTGAGCCAACCATGAACTTCTCTGTACACCAAAGAGTGACAGGTGTCCAGGTCTCATAGCTGCAAAACAAGCACAAATCATCAGCTGTCCACCACTGTGCTGACAGGTGGTGTTAAGTACTCATATGCTATGTTTTGTTTGTTTTTTTCCAACATGTGCATGGGTGTACATTATGGCCAAACAGCTCCACTTTGGTCTCATCTGTTCAAGAAATGCTATGATTTGTACTGATGCTACTTTGCAAAGCTAAACTGTGCTCCCATGTTCTTTTTGTCCCATGCATGTTGTTTACCTCAACTGTAATTTCTATACCTGGCAATACATTAAATCTATTGAAGGAAGGTTTACACATTTCCATAATAATATTAGTTAGGTGGAGGTGGGGGGGTGGCATTTATGTTATCAGCAGTGAATGACATATGTATCCACATTTAGAATCCACAGGAAATGATTAACTAATAAGCTCAAAGGGGGGAAAAAGGTGTGACTTGCTCTGTGTCTGGTTCCATGACAGGCAGCTGCCAGTCCCTCGCCTGTGTTGTGCATCACCCTTTCAGGCTGGGCCATGAATAAACAACCAAGCAAGGAGAGTCTCAAGGACAAGGTGAAGGGGATCTTTGGGCTCGGTACACAGCGTCCTCCGAACAAACAGAGTGACACTAAACCCTCCGAGTTTATCATTACGGCTGACATCATCAAGGTCTGCAGAAGCGACTGAGTGTCTGTGCATGTTCATTGAATGTCTCTCATTCCTTTCCCAGCATATCTTCCACTGTTTGACGTATTTTTTTGCTTTGGTGTGTTTCAGGAGCTCCACCCAGATTGCGGTCTGAGCAACCGTGTTCGTACTATGAACCACATCTGTGAGCTTGCCAAAATGAAAAAGTTTGAGGAGGTGAGTCTGCTGACTGCGGTCCATTTTTGTCGTTGTTTGGTGAACAGTACGCAGTCTTCTTTATTTGTTAAAATCTGAGTGTATATGTTGTTCAGCATGCAGTGGAGGCTGTATGGAAAAATGTGGAAGACATGCTGACTCCAGAGCAGCCACCAGAGGCCAGACATGCTGTCCTGCAGCTGCTCAGGGCCATTATACAGGGGCAGGTATAAAAACACAACATACACGCAGACACATGCAAAAAGCTTCCGTATGTTTTTTGTTTTTAAAAAAAAGTCTTTTTGTATGAAGGGTGAGCGACTCGGCCCTCTGAGAGCCTACTTTTTCAAGGTAATCAGAGACTACCAGCCGTGCAATGAAGACCTTTCTGACAGACTGGAGGTGTTTAAGGCTTTAACAGAGAATGGAAAGGATATCACATACCTGGAAGAGGACATAGGTAAAAACAGACTAATCCTCTTTCTTTATCAGTTGCAATATTTGTGTTTGTGCATTTAAAAAAACAAATCTGGAAAATAAATATAAGGAATTCTGAATAAAGCAAAACATCAGCTTTGAAGTAACCACTATTAATCACTGATAAATTTCTGGCTGTGTCACACCTCAGCTGATTAGGTTCAACTCGTGTTCACTGTTCCCTTTTTGTGCATTGACTCTATTGATATTATGTAATACAACAGTTTGCTTTCTTTTTTTTTAATCACTTGTTTTTCATTTCGGGTACAATGATGACAATGGTTTTTTTTGAATTCTAATAATAGCTCTTTTTTTCCGCACACAATACCCTCAACTGTTTCTTTCAGGATTTTTTTTTTTTCAAAGGTGGTAGGGAAACCTTCCATAGGACAAATACCCACATCCAAGATAGTTTGATCCCAGTATTATCTGAGAAATGTGACATCATATATTCAGCCTTATTTGAGCTACTTTGTTAGTAGTATTTTTAACTGTTGTGTTCATACTACTGTGAATAGTTTTATTTGCCATAGTGTATTGACCTGCATTAATACTTTTCACATGAATTTTTTTTTTCTTTCTATGTTATTTGCTTTCCTCTCTCAGCACGCTTTGTCCTCCTGTGGATGGATATAGGCCTTACATCTGACTTTCTCCATGTTCTTGTTAATCTGGTGAAATTCAATAGCTGCTACTTGGACCAAAATGTTTCCATCATGGTCCAGTGAGTCAGAGAAATCCACACACACACACAATGATTCTCTCTTACTCAGCAATTGGTCTCAGTGTCTCTTTTTCCTACTCGTTCTTCTGTGCTCTCTGCAGGAAAATTTGCCTGCTGTGCAACAGAACGACGTCTTCGACTGATATTGAGGTTGGTATTTCAAATTACTTGACAGTTAAGGGCTTTTACACACTGGACAGCAAACATTTGTGCAAACATTTTGCATGTTAAAAATATTTTTGGGGACTTGTGTTTATTTGCAACTGGAAAAAAAAAAATCTGACCGCTTAAACCACTGCATTTGGCAAGATGGACACTTGTAGCATGGAAATGGTGAAAGAGTACTGTTTTACCTAAGAGACACAGTTTGATGCTATTCAAGATCAATTTACTCCTGAAAGTATTTCTCTGCCTCCTCAGACGTGTTTCCAAATGTGCCAACAAAAGCTCAAACTGCCCCACTGACATCCTGAAATATGTAGAAAAGCAGTCGTGATACTGTTTTAATCTCTGGAGCAAAACATTCAAATTTCCTTGTTGCTGCTCAGTTTCTTCTTTTTCTGGTTTAGAAACATTAGGATCAACATTGATGCCAATTTCACTTTATTTATTTTTTCATCAGTCTTTTGGTTTGTTTGTTTTTTTTTTTTTTGCAGTTTGAGGAGGAATTTTTCACAAAAACTTTGCAACAGTTTTTTTTTCGCAACACCCTCAGTGTGTAATGGCCTTTGCACGGCATGTTTATGATTCCTCTTCAAAAGAAGGTGCAGTTTTTGTTTAGTAAATACATAATAGGCCCTTCACGAACCTGCAGGTTTAAGAAAAATTATTGAATAACTGTCCAGTGTCCATATATTAATTATATGTGAAAACTCTGTACGCCAAAGCTAGAGATGGTTTTAATCTGATGTATTAAAGTAAATGTTTTTGAGTAAATCACAATCATTAGCTTCAGTTAAACCTACCTAGACAAACCCTACCATATTTTTTGATTTGTGAACCTCAGACTGTTTTGTAGCGCTGGTTGTCACTAGTATTTCCAACCTTTGTATTTTTCCAGGTGGCTCTGCAAGTGCTCGATGCAGTTGTGTGTTACAACTGCCTGCCCTCCGACTCTTTAACCGTTTTCATAATCACACTCTGCCGTACGGTCAACGTCAAAGAGTTTTGCGAGTCCTGTTGGAAGGTGAGGCAAGAACACACCTGCATATATATACAATTCTGCCTCTTGTTTGAAGTCTATGATTTGAAGGGACATAATTCATAACTGTGTCCTCCTCTGTGCCGTTTGTTGTCCCTACGCTTTGTTTTGCTCTCTGGTTCTTCAGTTAATGAGAAAGGTTTTGGGGACTCACCTCGGCCATAGTGCAATTTACACCATGTGTCGCATTATGGAGGAAAGGTATTATTGGTTAAATATACAATATTTCTGACTTTGTGTGAATGAGCATATATAAGTTTGGAGGTATGGTGCAGTTCTTCTTTGATCTGTCCCTCCACCAGGGTGTATATGGAGGATGCACCGTTGTTAAGAGGAGCAGTTTTCTTTGTTGGAATGGCGCTTTGGGGCGCACACAGACTGCCTGCACTCAAAAATACACCGACGCTTGTTCTGCCATCTTTCTACAAGGTAACTCACATAAATATACATGCAGTTTTGCAATGAGATTATAATACTGAGGGTCAAGTCCACATCTCATAATCAAAAATTTAACTGATAGGATTTTATGGTGGTAAGCCTCTCTTGTACACTGGAGTTCTTAATGTTTTATACTTTTACTTGTTTTCTGCTCCCCTGGTCTTAAATCTGTGCAATGTCATTCAGAGCAAATTTCCTTAAAAAGGATGGGAATTTATAAGAATTTGCTCATTGGGTTCTCACTGGGTCCACTTTGAGAGTGACCACCATTGCTGTGCAGCGTATCATTACATTCATGCAAATTAATTGCATGCTGTGAGTCAAATGTATGCTCATGTTGGAGGTATTTCCCATTTTTTGTTGTGATCAAGGTTCACATCATCATTACTAAAATCATTACTAAAAAAAAAAAGATTTCACAGAACACTTTTTTGTAATGCAGTATGGTACTTAATTACCCCAAAGAGAAAGTAATTCATTATACTCCTATATTACTTTCATGTTACTCTGTAAAACAGCTGAAACACACTCTCATAATTACTATTTAACTATATAAACCTGAAGCTTCAGCCCCAAACACCAACACAAATCCCTACCCTAATAAGGACTCACATTTGATCTTTCTCTTACTAATTAGGTATCTAACTTGGTGTTAGCATGGTGTTTGGCTAGCTTAGTGTTAGCATGCTGCAGTCTCTGTAGATGCTTGCAATGAGCCAAAATTGTGCTACCAGCATAATACTGCAGTTTCTGTCTTGGATGCAGTTTCCACTTTACTATCATGTCCTCGTCATTTTGTGCAATAAAACGAATGTTCATATCCATGCTGTAGACTGTGCCACCATCTTCCACCTCCGACCCGCAAACAAATTGGCTGATTGTAGTGCAAGTGGAACCGATAAGCGGGCTCGATAGGCCAGCAGACTAACAGTTCCAGGGAACTAGACTACTCGGAACTTGTTGTGTACAAGAACTTGTTCTTGATTCCCATCGCTAGTCGTTCTTGTGGTCATTTCAAGCACAGGGCTATCAAAAATATGGAGCTGGAAATCTGCACAATAGGGTGAAAAGAACAGACTGTCTGACTTCCAAACCCGTGGCATAGATTTTCACTTTTGTGTTCAAAGTCATACAGATATTTTCTTTCATGCAGGATGTAGTCAAACTTTAAGTTGTTGCCATGTGTTTAGATCAAACCTGAGGTTGAAAGATTATACGGGGGTAAAATGACTGCACTTGATATGATGACTGTGCTGAATAAGTGACTTTTATTTCTGTCCCTCAGGCCATGTCATGTGCCAACGAGGTGGTCTCCTACGAAATTGTTCTTTCAATAACAAGACTCATCAAAAAGTACGGTAAAGAGCTACAAGTGGTCACATGGGACATCCTACTCGGCATCATAGAGCGACTATTGCAACAGATTCAGGTTCTTGAAAATATATTTCACTTGTGATTGACCATGCTTCATAGTGTAGTAGTTAACACCTTTGTTGTTGTTGTTTGATTCCAGCTGGAGACCCAAATCCCATTTGGGCTTGTTTTAGGAAGGACTTTTTGCCAAATTAAATATGCAGAGCTGTAGTTTTTAATTTTTATGTTTTTATCTGGTTGAGTATACAGAATAAAAAGTAATGGTTCTAGCTTGACCAAGTGGTGTGCCTCTTGTTTTCACAGACAATAGGCAGTGCGGAACTAAAGGCCATTGTTTATGAACTGTTGACCACCGTGGAAGAGCTTTATGAACAAAACGGTTACCACGGCTCCACTGAGAAGTTTTTCAGCCTGGTGGAGAAATGTGCTGATAAAAGACCAGTTAGTGCTTTGATTATCTTCTGTCCTCCTCCAACTTTTGTTGTAATTTAGACCTCTTACGCTGCGTTGCCCCCCCCACTAATATGAATCTTATCTTTTGCAGGATGCATCAGTGCTGACACTTATCTCCTACAGGGCTCAGTCTATCCAGCCTGCTAAAGAAGGCTGGATTCAGAGCCTTCACCGGCTTATGGAGAAATTCTTCAGGTAGGACACACACACTGACACACGTATATATCTCAGGGAGGTTATAGTATTATCCTTGTGATGTTCGATCTCGTTCTTGTTCTATCTCTGAAGTATCTTAATCTCCGCTGTCCCTTTCTGTTATCTCACCCTTTTGCTCTGTGAAAGGAACGAGACTCGCAGTGTGATAAGAATCAAAGTGCTTCATATCCTGTCCTTCGTTCTCAGTACCAACCGGCAGCTCTATGAGGTCTGTGCTCTCTCATACACGCTCACATCAGAAACCTGTGTAATTCCAGTCCGCTGTCCAGACTGAAAAGCTTCTGGTGCATTTCTCTTGCCATAGTTCCAATTTTTACTGAAGAAGATATTTCGATAGTAGCAAGCACCACTCAGATGCTGACATACTTCTGAGCCTCCCAAAGTTTATTTACATGCAATTTATTTTTGAAACGGAGCTTGTACAAATGTTTGACACATTTGTACAAGCTCCGTTTATGATTTTCAAAAAAATCATACTTTTCCTTTTTGTGTTCTTTGCTTATTTTCTATTTTTTCTCCAGGATGAGTTGATTGAAATGGTGGTGATTCCCCAGCTCAGTGGGATTGCTGAAGACAGGGACTTGGCAGTTAGAAAACAGGCTACTCAGCTATTAGTAGACCTCGCTGAGGGCTGCAACACGCACCACTTCACCAGCCTGCTGGACATCATTGAACGGGTACAAAAAGAGTACATGCAATCACACAAAACCGCCCCATTTCTGTCACAATGTCATTACTTCTCTCCATTTTATAATTATTTTTTAGGTGTCTAGCCGCTCTCTGGTGTGTTCAGGGCCCCTAGAGGTTTCTGAGAGAGACCCCACAGCAGAGTCTCCTATGGAGGACGTCAGGACTGCTATTCTGGGCCTGCTTGAAATCCTGCAGGTATACATAAAAATAGTAGATGTGAAGAGTTGTGGGTGAGTTAAAATAGAATATTAAGACATAGTTTCTTCCACAGTGACTTATCACAATGTAGGGCATCAAATGACATCAATCAATGGAGAAATCCCCCTCCCCCCAGAACAGTTCAATACACATTAAAATGGACTAAAATTGGCTTTGTTGACTGCTGTCAGACTGTAAATGTCATTTTATTTGGTGACATTTTACCATTAAGAGCTCAAAGATCTCTTTATGGCACAAAACGCTGAGAATATAACAAGCAAAGAAAATGTAATTCACAAACAAAAAATTGGACAATTAATTTGTCCAAATTAACCAAACCCAAAACAGTTTTTGTTATGTTGCCTCACTGCGTCTTTGCATTGCTGTCATGCTGCAGTGACTGTACTCTGACCTGGTTATCTGACACATACCTATCGACTGCCCTCTCCGGCCTAAAAATGTATTAAAGGAAAACTTTTTTTTTTTTCCAAACTAGTGCTAGCTGCTGCTTACGTAACTTAAAAAAATCCTCTTAATGAAATGAGTCAGCAGCTAAAACTTTTAATGATGGAAAGACTACACTAATGCTTAATGTCGCAAGCTTAACAGACCTGCCTGTCAGCTTCTCAGGTGTCATCCAATTTTATTAATATAAATCAAATGTAAATTGATGTATATACCTGGACAGCAAAACATGATTTATCTACGGACTAATACAAATGTTGTATTTTCTTAAACAAAGTTGATTTACAATAAAAATCGATCCTTGGAACAATGTGTGAAGTTTATAAAATCTTAAACATAATCGCTCAGACTCAAGACTTGCTTCTTGTTCTGGCCCGGCAGTTATTAATCCCATAATTAAGCTCTAATCATTAACTGTTGATGACGATAGATTTCAGCCTTCTTGGTGACCACTCTGCAAAGTCTGTAATTATGTTGTGTCTGTAATTACGGTTTTGTAATGTTGGATATTTTTGCCAGTGTGGTGTCATGTGCTTGCATTTCATGATACTTAGCCAACTGTTAGGTACATGGTAAGGGTCATGAGATGGAAGAAAAAACCCAAAACAAACTATTAGAAGTGAACTATTTATAGTGTGTTAAATTGATATGAAATGTTCCATGCTGCCTAAGACTTTCATTAAGCTAGCAAAACTAAGATTATCAAGGTTTATCAAATAAACTAAACATTTATTATATTTTACCTGGTGATAACATGTTATCCTTTTTCTTCTGACAGAGCAAACTTTACAGTCTGCCAGCCAGCCATGCGAGTCGTGTTTATGAGTTGCTTATCAGCCACCTGCAGCTTCATTACAAGAACAAGTACTGTTCAACTATCGCCTCCACTATTAGACTAAAGGTAGGTGATCTGTCACTACTCAAATGTTTTTACCTCTTATTACATCATTTCTTTGTTGACTCCTCCTTTTTCTTCTCAGGTGTTTGACTTCTTTCTCATGATGCGTGCAGACTCTCTTCACCGTCTTGGGGTCCCAAACAAAGATGGTGTCATGAGATTCAGCCCTTATTGCTACTGTGATATAGGGTGAGAACACAAACATTTCCTTTAAGGTATTGAGCTTACTGACAGCTCTCTAACATTGTGTCACTTGCTTTTGTTCTTGTTGTTTTTCAGGGAACCAGAGAAACGTGTTGGTGAAAAGAAGCCAGCAGGTTCAACCTCTCCTCCTGCTGGCAGCCCTGCTCCTCCTGCTGCTCCTCCCAGTTCAGCAGCCTCAACACGCTCAGCCTACCTTCCCTATTCGCCTGCCTTCAGTGTCCTCCTGCAGTGCCTCAAGATGGTACACACAATAATTATTGTATCAAACAGCATTGCACAGTTCATATATACGTTCTGTGGTTAAACAGTTGGCCTCATGCCTAGTTTTGTATCTTTATTCTTAGACTCAACTACAGTTGCTATACATTTTAAGTTCAGAGTAATCCTTAGATATCTTACACTGGGGCTAGATGCACCCCCCTGGAACAAGCCCATTTAGCTCCTCTTTTTAAGCCAGGTTTCTTTTCTGATTGGCAGACAGTATTGAATTCATATCAGAATTAAATCATAGGCATTGCAGCTGTTAGAATGCAGAAGCAGTGACCGATAATTGCAGTGACTTCCCTTTTATCTGTAAAAGGTTCAGATATGATTTATCTCTCTTACAGGAGACGGATTGGAAGGTGCTGAAGCTGGTTCTTGACAAGCTGCCATGGATGCTGCAGTACAAAGTGTTGCTGCTCACATCACCATGCAACTTAGATCAGCTGTGTTCTACACTCTGCTGCATGGTAGCCTGACTTTATGCACATAAATACAGATCCATACACTGGCTATTAGGTTGTGAGTGAATTCAATCTTTATTGATCTCTTCTGCGTGTGTAGGTGACAGATCGTCTCATCTCAGAGCGATTGAAAAAGACTCCAGAGGGGTTTTCTCGCACAGATGTTCAGCTGGCAGTGATTCCCGTTCTTACAGCAATTACCTCCTACCACAACTACTTGGAGCAGTCAAGACAGGTACAAAGACTAGTCTGCAGAAATCAAACACCTTCTGTGCTATTTCTCACAGGATACTATGATAAGTTTTATGCTAGCATCTACAAAACAACTTTAGGCTATGTTGAGAAAACTAGGTTGGAACCAGGTTGCTTGTCTTCACATGCAGCAAACAACAGGATGTACTCTGCTTTAGATAGAAATAACATGGTTTTGTTGAGAGTACCGGAAGAGGCAGGACATGAAACCCACTTTCTTGCTGTGAATGATCAGATTAGCTTAATCATATACCAGACAGACTTTGCATTACAGAACTGGCAAATTACATGTGCAGCCTGTTTATTTTGTACATTTGCATTCTATCACTGTTAGAACTCATATTTAAACAAAATTCATGCACGTACACACCAAAGTCTCCATGGTGTGTACGCTGAGTCCATGGAGTGTTAGTGACACCCATTCAACTGCTTGTGAATGTAAATGTCTAATCAGCCAATCACATGGCAGCGACTCAATGCACTTAGGCTCGTAGTCCTGGTCAAGAGGACAGTTGAAATTCAAAACGAGCATCACAGTGGGGAAGACAGTCGATTTAAATGTCTCTGAACATGGTGTTGTTGCTAGTGCTGATCAAAAGAGAATGGTCCAAATAAGAAGTCAGAGAAAAATGGTGAGACTGCTTTGATAGGAAGGCAACATTAACTTAAATATCAGTTCTTACATCCATGTTTTACAAAGCATGTTGAAACTTGAAACAGCCGTCCACAGCAGCAGATGTCAATACTTAGCTAATAACAGGAAACTGAACCTACAATTCGCACAGGTTCATCAAGATCGGACAACAGAAGACTGACAAACTGTCACCTGGTCTGATGAGTCTTGATTTTTGCTGACACATTTGAATGGTAGCGTCAGACTTTTGCATAAAGAACATGAAAGCATGGATCCACCCTGTACTCTGTCAATGGTGTCAGATGGGGTTCTCAGTTACTGGACCTCAATCCAATAAAGCACTTTTGGTGGTGGTGATAGAACAGTGATGGATGTGCAGGCAACGAATCTGTAGCATTTCTGTCATTTTGTCATGTTAACAACCAAAATCTTTCCAGCACCTTGTTGAATATATGCCACACATTAAAACAGTTCTGAAGGTGAAGTAAAGTCCAACCCAGCAGTAGCAAGGTGTACCAAATGTAGTGACTGGTGAGTGTATATGGAAACATACAAGTGGAATTACATTCATCCTTTCATTGATACATGCAGAGAGAACTGGTTCAGTGCCTCGAGACCGGGCTCATTTACCGCTGTGCCAAGCAATGTGTGGTGGCCCTTACAATGTGCACGGTGGAGATGCCTGATATCATGATCAAGCTTCTTCCTGCTCTTATCGTCAAGCTCACTCACATCTCTGCTACTGTTGCCATGGCATCTCCTATGCTCGAGTTTCTCTCCAGTGAGTACTTTTCTCTTTTCCTGTATTCTTTTATATTGTTGAAGGCCAAAGTCTTCAGTTGCTTTTTTTGACTGTGTTTCACAGCCCTCGTGCGCCTTCCCCATCTGTATGCCAACTTTGTAGCTGAGCAGTATGTCAGCGTGTTTGCCATCTCACTACCTTACACTAACCCCTCAAAGTAAGTCCTAGCACATGTGACATTTTGTATTCCCTGATGCAGAGACTCACTCTGATCTGAGTATTTCTTCAAATCCCATCAGGTTCAACCAGTACATTGTATCCCTGGCCCACCATGTGATTGCCATGTGGTTCATACGCTGCAGACTACCCTTCCGCAAGGACTTTGTTCAGTATATCACAAAGGTACACCACAGTGAATGACAAAAAAGAGCCTTCAAACCTGAAGCTGAATTTACTATTACTCACCTGCTCATACACATGAACAATATAAGGAAAAGAAATAATGCAGTACTAAGAGAGAGTACAGATGCGTAGCTCCTACACTGAAATCAATGTCGCTGAAAAGGACCTTGTCCTTGCTCACACATTTATAAAAGAAAGTGTCTTCCTTTCAGAGACTTTTAACGATAGTTTAATTAAAAGGCAACAACTTTTACAAACTCTTATGCAATCTGAAACAAGGCTCTCGGGAATTCCTTCAGTTCTTGAGAATAACTTGTTGTCCAGTAATTATCAGATAACACGTTTATGTTTGATTGCTTTCTTGTCAGTAGTGGGCTTAGAATGTTTTCACCACCCTCATTTCCACTTGTTTTTTATGCTTAGCATAAAAACTCAGATGAGAAAATGTTAAAGTGACCCTGGTGTATTTTCTCCAGAAAGAGATGGAAAACAACAGAGATATAACCCTCACATTAGAACAGACCAGCTCTTTGTGTTTATGCTGAGCTAACAACTTCAGACTGCAGCTTTATATTGTACAGAGAATTGAACTCTTGACAAAAAGGCAAATTAGCATATTGTAGCATATATTGAAACATTCTTTTAAATTGTCCTTGGATATTTCCACTGGATTTGTCAGTTCTACTTATTACTTCATGCTTTTTATTCATTGCACATAGTTGTTCCCTTCTCTTTTGCAAAAAGTTGAGGTCTCAGCTTCTTAATGCACTTTTGGGCATTCACTTGGATTTATTTGCTCTGGCAATGGTGGCTTAAGTAACTGCACAACACACTTTTAACCTCAAATGTCTCCAGAGAGATGCTTCATTGAAATTTGTACTGTTCAGGAGAAACATGTCCAGTTAGGTGCATCTGGATGCTTGTGAAGTTTGAGAAACCTGTAGCAGAGGGGGCACAACTGGTAATCATCTGTAAATCTGGGTCACCACTTTTGTTTTGCATATCTGGTTCCTTTCTTTGTGTTCCTTCAGGGTTTGCGTTCCAACGCCCTTCTGCCATTCGATGACAGCCATGAGCAGAGTCCGTTTCGTGCCCGAAGCACCAGCCTCAACGAGAGACCCAAGAGGTAAACTGTATTTACACTGTCAGTCACCAGCAGTAATGTACAAACCAGCAGCACCGCACGCTGCCCACGTGGCTGCTGTTGTGGTAAAGGGTTGGGGGTAGCCAAGGTAACAGGGGACTCAGCATGATTCGTACTGATGGTTGCAGTGACACCTCTCAGGTTGCCATGGTGATCATTAGTTCATTTTATCTGTTTATGCTTTTTTTTATGTTTTAAAATGTGTTCTTATACCACCACTTATTTTTATTTTGTATTTTTCCAAGAGTCACCTCATTTGTCATACAGAGGGTGGACAAAATGGCATAAACACCTGTATAATGTTATGCCTTTATTTAGTTTATATTTGTTGTGGATTATTATATATCATTATTCGGGTGTTTGTGTACTGCTTTCACTACCTGTATCTCACAAAAGTACATCCCTAGCAATAGCATGAGTAAGAGGTACAGGGTGTCCCTCCCCCTGTCACACTGTGCCGTCTGACTGCTGTTTGTGACCACAGAACATGTACACAAAGAGAAATACACGCCATCTTTCACACAGAGGGAGAAAGAAGCTTTTCTCAGCAAGGTGCCATTCTCATTCGTACAAAGTGTGACTGTTGTTTGGTTGTCCACACCTGGATTAGTTGAACAGTGTACATTTAAAAACATGTACAAAGTAACTTTTTAAAACACTCTAGACTGTAACACAGAGAGAAGGGTACTTAACAGGGGTCTTTTTGCATTAATTAATAATACTGCTTTAAATTGTGCCACCGCATACGCTATGCTGTAGTAAAGATGGTAAACCATTAACAAAATGCATTAGGCTGTGATAGTTTTTACTTTGCTTACTATGCTAATGTAATAGCCAGTATTCTGTCAATGTAGGCATCATTATTTTTTCTTATTTCCAAAGCTGTCATAATCCCCAACTCAGTTGCTACTAAAATGTTCTCTTTCCCGAGTTTCCTTAAAAGTAACTTTTGTTCAGTAATTATCGTCAAGTCCAAACTAATCAGCTCAGTTTTGCTTGTGAGGGTAGAGCAATGCAGATCACACATGCACACAAGTACAAGTGCAACTGCTGTGTAGATTCTGCAAGGAGTCATCGCAGAACTGAAGCTCAAACTTGACTACTCTGTGTCTTAACTACACTTTTTCTGCAGCTCTCCTTTGTGAGAAAGTTAGAAGTGATAGGTCTATTATTTTGTTTGGTATGAGTGCTGTAGCTTGCTGTTTTCTCACACACTGAACAAAGCAGGAGGAGAGAGTGTGGAGGCAGTAGCAGGAGGGCAAGACATTTACAGGCGAGACAATTCTGTCTATAGATGTTTTTCTAAATGCAATAAATAAATATGCTGTTAGAGAGCTATGAAAAGTTGCTAAGTCAGCATCATAGGGAGAGACTGAAGTGTGATTGCACACGCTGATTTATCTAAAACAAAAATTGAAATGTGCACTTCAAAAATCAAAATCCAGCTCAAATAGTGAATATCCAACTAGGTAAATATTCAGGCACACCAGTGGTTGTCTCTTTTTGAGTCAGCAACTAAAATTGCGTATTACAAAATTGTAGTTATTTAATCTTTTTCTGATTAATCAGGTGTTTGATTGTGGACGACGTCTTAAGAAAATAGAGACACCAATGTTGCCATACACACAAAAATACATGTTTTAAAAATAAGTATTTGGTGTAGAAATCCCAGTTAAACCAGAATTTACCCAGTGAATTTCAGAGACACTATAATATTCATCTTCCTCTTTTCCTAATGTGATCTCTACTTTTACGCTCACGTTTATTGTGGCATTTTTATTAATTTTCCATCTTTTCTTAGATTTGGGTTAACAAATTGTCTTAGATTTTTATGAAGCCCTTCCAGTATTTTTAACTTGGTAATTAAAAAACAAAACAGCAAGTCCTTGTTGCAGCTCTCCACAGTAATCCAAAATGCTTCTGCTAACATTAATTCTTCCATAATAGTTACAGTTTTCCATATTCTGGTATCACAGTTCTTGTGCTGCTCATTGCTCATAATGAGGTTGGAGTTCCTCAGCTCAGTTTCCACCAGGATGATGGTCAGAATGTCAAGTTTAAATTTATTAATTTAATTCTTAAAATGTTCTTGGCAAACGTTCCACTGTGTCCAAACATTACCTTTGCATACATAAAAAATACATACATTATTTGGTGATGATACTAAACTAGTATTTGGTCCAGTCTGAGGCTGCTGTGCTTCAACCCTCTGGTTTCATCCAGCTTCATGTTTCACTTGTGTTTTAACTTCTATCATAAAGCCTGTGCTGAGTTCATCCCTACGGTTATACTTCTGTACTAGTCCTTGGCTTCTCTACAAACCTGCTGTGTGAAGTAATGTTTATTTTGTTGCTCTCCTGAATACTTTCTGTGTATTTTCTTTTCTGAATAGCAGAAGCTGTTTCCCCCTCTGCTGTAGCTTCTCTGTTTTCTGTTTAGTTGGCGTGTATCCTTTTATTTTTTTAACCCTCTTTTTTTTTTTTTTCTTTCTCCACTCTCCTGTAATCTGATTCATAATGTTCACTGCTGTTAATTTTCACCGTGTTTTGTTTTTCCTTTATTTGACCCTTCCCCCTCTCCACTGCCCCCTGTGTTTGGTGTGGTTGTGGTTTTGGGGGTGGTTGTGTCATCCTGGATCCTTTCTACATTGCTCCTGATCCCTCCCTCCTCATGTGACGCTGCCCTTTGACCTTTGTGGCCCTCTCCTTTGTACCCTGCCCCTCTCCATGTGTGGCGTGCGCTCCTGATCCACCTGCTCATGTTGCTCTGGTTCTCTGGTGATGATTCCTGCTGTCTCCTGGTATACTTTTACACCACACTTCCTCCACACTCCCAAACCACCACCCTCACGATGACCCCGTCCTCTCACTGCCCCAACGCCACCGTTACTCCATCTTGGGCCCAATCCCCCTCGCCCTTTGCCATGGACACTCCTCACCACTCAGCTTGCGGGCAGCAAAAGTGGCAAAGGCAGCAGCAGCGGTAGCCAATAGCAGCAGCTCTCCAGTTAAAGAGCTGAGGGACCTTTCAGCCATGGACGCTTTCCGCTCCCGCAGCATCAGCGTCTCCGAACATGCGGTCCGCAGGTTAGACAAGAGCCTTCTGGGTAACAAAACAAAAACCAATAACAACCCAAACACTTACTGCTTTCTTCATGGGATTGATGGGGTCTAGGGTCATTGACCGTCTTTGGGGGGGTGTTGCTGGGGAGATTTGTTGCCAGGGGCACCTGGAGTGGGTGGTGCATGCTGGAGGAAGGTTTATGTGTCGACCTTTTTGGTTTGTTTTGGGCTGTGTTTATATTTGTGCTGGTTTCAATGTTGTTGTTTTTTCTGATTTGCTTTTGCATGCAGTGTTTGTTGAAGATGTGGGAAAGCATCTTTTCACTTTATTGATGTTTTTCACTTTGCTCTAACACAGATTTTGCTTTTTTGTTTGTTTGTTTCTTACATTTTGCTTTGGTTTGATTTTATTTGTATGTGTCTTTTATGTGCTGGGTGTATTGCTGACTGATTTTGATTCGCCTAACAACAAATGAATGGCAGAAGGAACTGGTGCAAAGCAGTGGTGGGATCTTTATAAACTTCACTGTAAACAACTGCAACCCCCTACTTTGGCTCCCTCTGTTTGCTTTGGGAGCACATCTGCTTCTTCGACCAGTGACTCTGGCAACAGCAACACAACAGCTTTTGTTTGCTTGCTTGACATAATTTTAGTTTTGTTTTGTTCCACTGAAACATCCACTGTACTGCTATGACCATGGCAATCTCCTAGTGCGGGATTTCAGAACTAGCTGGGTTGAGATGAACTTTTAACAGTTTGATCAACACATCATTCACATCACGCACATCCACACAAACACTCTTCCTCACTAATCGTCATATGCTTATCTGTCCTTGGCTGACTTTCTTGGGCATCTGGAAGAAGTACAATGCAACATTGCAGTTGTTAGATGAGGCTGCTCACACCAATTGATTGTCATAGGTCACACTAGTATTGCCACCAGATGGCAGCAGCAGCTCAGTACTTGTATATGCTTAAAAGTACTGTTTAATGTTCAATGACAAACACAAAATTAGTGGGACTAAACAACTGCAGTGTTGCTCTCTTTAACCTGCTTTAACTGTTGACTGGCTGATAATCTGCTTTTGCCCTCAGAGCTGATTTTTGTGTGAACTGGGTTTAAAATTCACCTCCATGTGGACACTTACTCCATCTAGCATAACGTGACCGCATTCAAAGCTTTCAGTCTTCAAGGCGACATTTTCATTGGAAAAACTGTATGGGATTAGATAAGGTTACATTTGTTTTTCTTTACTTTAAATTGGGTAATGTCAGTGAATTGAAGTACAATAGCATGTGATGGTATGACAAAGCAGCAAACCTCGTACTGCTTCAGTCGTGAGTCTGTCATGGTCATGTTTTTGGAGTATGTGTCCATTAAACACTGAAATGAAAAATAAGTCATCGTCAGTAGAAGAATAGTAGTTATAAAATGTGATTGAATAGTTGCTGATTCACATTCTGGGACTTGAGAGATTTCTTTGAGCCTCATACAAAAGATCTACGCACCAGTATTAGTCTGTATGTGTGCCTATATTTTCATGCTCAATACATTTAAAGTGAAAACACTATTTCTACATAAATCTTTGAAATTCTGAAAATATAGTTGTATTCCTACCAGCCTAGACCTTCCCTAACCTTCATAGAGTATTTAAATTTGACCTATAGGTAAGAAGAATGGAGGCTTTAAACAAAAACAAAACAAAACAAAAAACTAAGGACCTCTTGCTCTCTTTTTTAATCCATTGCATCACTACTTTCTTGTTTTAATATTTGATGTTTTCTTTCATTTTTGCATTTCTTTATAATTTTGGCTTTGAAAAACAGTCCGCATGTCTTTAATACTCCCCGCTGGGAGGAGAAGTAACATCTGGCTGAAGTAACATGGGCTGGAGTGTTGCTGTAAATTGCTCATTTTGAGCATGTTTACTTCTAAGCAGCAAGCTTTCAAAACACATCCATTATCTCCCTTGAGCTGATGTTCACATCTGTAAATTTGCTTCCAAACTGATTCTTGTGTAGAGCACGGAGAAATGCTTCTTGTGAATACAAAAAGCTGCTGCACAGTGAATGCTAATTGAACGATTTGACTTCAGTGGAAACATTAACATACCGTTAAACACATCGAGTCACACGTAGCTTCTACCTGCTGGTTTTTCTGCATCAAAATATTACAGATCCTTTTACCCTCGCAGAGAGAGCTTTTTTACATTTAGAAGGAGAATCAGTGTGGTATCAGGGCATGCAAAGCTATGTATTACTTGTCCCAGCATGTGTCTCTGCGTGTGCACTTAGAGAAAATGTAATCATCATATGGTGGTTGAGCATAAGAAGTTGGGTCCATAAATATTTAGACAGTAAGTGTACACAATTTTGCCTCTTTACATTATCATATCAACTTGCAGTGAAGCCGTCAGGAGGTGATAGACATCTAGACTTTCAGCTTTCTTTCAATCAACTGTTTTTTGCATACTCTCTATACTATAACTATGTAACTCTGCACATCAGACTTATTTCTGCTACTATTATCAATGGTTAAAACTGTATAAACACTAGTGACCCTGTTCCACTGTGATATTTACATGCTTGCACTGTCAAAAATTTCTTCACGGTGTTTGATAAATGATGTGAAATGCTTTGGATCAATAAATTCTGCCTCTGTCTTTAGTTTCATATGTCCACATAATCTTGTTAAAGAGTGGAGAGTGTGGAATAACTCAGTTTTATTTACCTAGCATAACAGTAGTTATCTCTGGGGGTTTTTATGTTGTAAGGCCCTACAATTAATTGAAACTTAAGGGTTGAAGTTAGGATTTGGTTAGGGCTATGGTAAGGCTTGACGCATACGTTTTATTGTTAACCTTTGGGTAGAAGGCTGGGGAATGCATTAAAATCATTAAACTTTCCACATACTGAGTTCCCAGCAATAGATACCAAAGTTTTCTTCTGAGCCAATGGCTGTAGTTCCTAAACAGTGCAATATTTTGAGGTACTAGAGTAACATCTTGATTGCTTTCTTTTAGTACCGATGTGATGGTATACAGAGGCAAAAAATGCAAAATTTGTAATCCTTTCCAAATACTTATGAACCCAACTGTAAACAAATGAATGCACGTTTCCATGTGTGCTTGTGATGAATGTGATCTAGGCACGGACATGAGCACGAGTGATTGTGTGATTCTTCTTGCAGTTTTCTCTGCACCACTAAATCAGAACCTGCATGTTTCTGTGCACTTTACACATTAAATATGCGAGGAGCTTGCACCTTCAACTCGCTCTTCTCCACCTTTTGCTGTTCTTTATTTGTCTCTTTGTTTCCACCTTTTAGGATGCACACCTCAACCACCACATGCAGTCTGGGCTCTGCCGATGAAAATGCAGTAACTCAGGCCGACGAGGGGCTGAAAACTGTCCACCTAGAGCTCACAGAGACTTGTCTTGACATGATGGCCCGATATGTATTTTCCAACTTCTCTGCACTTCCCAAGAGGTTGGAAGAATTTTTTATTATTTTTTTTAATGCTCATATTTTGTAAAAAGAGTTGGAAAAAGCAACAAGAGTGATGATTTTGGCCTCTGTTCTCTTAGGTCTCCCATCGCAGAGTTCCTGTTAGCAGGAGGCCGCAGTATGACCTGGTTGGTGGGCAACAAGTTGGTCACCATAACAACCAGCGGAGGGGTCAGAACACAAGCGCTGCTGGGCCTGGACATGGCTGATCGCCTGGGAGGAGGAGGAGGGGAATTGACCAGGTGATGCATGCTTGCACACATACTAAAAGGAATTTGTCTGCTTTCAACTGCCAGACCTCACTCTATCTATCACCCCTTACTTAATCAAAGATGCTCCACTTTTACTTTCTTCCCTTTTTTTTTTTTTTTTTTTTTTTTTTTCCTTCCCGGTGAGCCGGTGGGCCAAAAGTTAATTATAAGAGCATTATTCTGCTCTAAACACAGATCTTCTTGGCTCTCTTTAATATCAGCATAGAAGCCCCACATACCTGCTGCTGGACAATTTGTTTCCGAAGGCAAGCTATTTAAAAGGAAGAGTGACCACACACACAAACACACACACGACACACACACACAACACACACACACACACACATCACACACACCACACACACACTTCAACACCGGAGGTTGAACTGAGTAGCTGCCTAGAGGCCCAGAAGAAGATGAATATAGGATTATTTTGAAATGGGAATCATACAAAGTTACTCTATTAGTCCAAGAAGTCTAAGAATGAAATGATGGAGCTGAAAATAAACACAATAGACCACCTACCACATGGCATTTACCCTGTAGTGCCACCATGGGGTTGACATTTATCCTTCTGAGTAAAATATTTTGACATTTAGTTGATGAATAGCCATGAAATATTGATCTAGACCCCTCCCCTTCAGGACAAATTGCAATCATTTTAGCTTAATTCTTAAAGACAAAATGTCTAATAAAAAAAAATAAAAAATTTGTAACCTGCAATTAAGAAAAATAGCAAAACTGTTGACATTAAAACTTGAACTTAAATATTTAACAATTACAAAATTAACAAATTCCAAATGATAAACTAACGTTGATCAACATGTACACAGAGATGGGCAGTAACGCGTTAACGGTTATGTAATGGTTACTGTAATCTGATTACTTTTTTCAAGTAACGAGTAAAGTAAGGGATTACTATTGCAAAAACGGTAATTAGATTACCGTTACTTTCCCGTAGGAACGCTGCGTTACTGCGTTACTAAAACCGTGATTTTTTTGCGAGAATGTCTCATGACAGTGACGTAAGCGAGTGCGACGTTCGTGACAACAGCTGTGTGCAGATCAACAATGGATAATATATCGAGTGCGGGAGAGAGTATGAGCGTGCAGCGTTTAAAGCGTGGAAGTACTGACCTTACTTTGAGTTTGATTCCATAAAAAGTGACAAAAACATTAGTGTCCATTGTGCGTGGGAAGAAAACTTCTTTTTACAGCGAAAAAACCCCTAAACTTCCAAGCAAGCACCGAGTGCGCAACGACGTAATGGGAAATTCACAGAGAAACTCGCGATAATGAAAATAGAGCAACAGGACCGCTAGTCTTTGACTTTATTTATTTTCTGCTGTGTTTTACTTGCATCTATTTGAAAGACTGAGTGTAAACACAAAAAATATTTTATTTTATGTGCTGGAATGTGCAGAAAATAGGTTTAAATGTTAAACTAATTTCTTCCAGTCAGAGAATGTTGCATATAATTAAATTTTTGCTTGATGCATAAAGTTAAAAGATTAAAACTAATAAAACAAGTTTTAAAAAGAGACTTTTCCATTTGATTACATTTTGTATGATGGATTATGCAGAAAAAGTAGAATTGGGCTGAAAGATCTATCGCTTTATCACCTATTCAGGTTGTAAATGGTGTTTTTAAAAGTAATTAATTACTTTTGAAAATAAGTAATCAGTAAAGTAACGGATTACTTTTTGGGGAAGTAATCAGTAATTAGTTACTGATTACTTTTTTCAAGTAACGTGACCAACACTGGTCACAGAGCAGCTAGCATGCCTGCAACCACTTTGGATTGTTAGCAATAATGTTGCTCTCCTGTTCCCGCAGGTCAGACCCATCACTACACACCCGAATGACCAAAGAGGCTCCAGCCAAATTGGAGTCACAGTCAAGCCAGCAGCACAACAGAGCTGCACGCATACGAGTTCGCTCCATGTCAGGTAGAAATAAAAAAAACAAATATGTATTTTTTTTAATTTTTTTTTTTTTTTTTTTTTTTTGCTGTTGCTAGGAAGGTAACACTGCTTTTGTAGAAAAATTATACGTTGCTGTCTATATTTCAGTTCTAAAAGTTATTTCTATGTTACCATGCTGTTGCTTTCTTTGACTTACAGTCTTCAATGTAGGAGTCTTGGGAAGTAATAATGTTGTTGTGCTTTCTCTGATTGTCTGACTTTACAATAAAGAAATCTGGCTTTGACTTACAGGTGGTCATGCTCTACGTGCCGGTCCAGCTCAGAGTCTCAGTCCTCTGGTGTCTCCCTCTGAGGGTGAGTTGACTGCTCCACTCTCTCCCTCCTCTGGTCCTGCTCTGGATAGTTTAGGTCCATCCTCTTCCACCTCTGCCACTCCATCTGCGCCTCCTACTCTGAAAGACAACCCCACCTTGGCTGAATTTGCCCCAATGCTCACACAAGGCTGGGCAGAGATCTTCATACGCAGACCGTCAGGTATGTCACCATTAAGAATGTCCCCTCTACAGTTATTGTAGAAACTTTCTGTGTTTCGTTATTATGCGAGTATTGTCAGAAGGTGACTGTTGGGGAACAAAAAAAAAAAAAAAGAATCATCCACATACCTTTCAGTGCGCTTTGGTAAATGATAGGCATTCATTTTAAAGATACTTTCTGCTGTTTGTGTTATGTGCTCCCTGACACTCTTGCTTTCTGTGCTGGGCTCTAATACTGTCGTCACAGGTAACACAAGCTGGCTAATGTGTTTGGAGAACCCACCTAGCCCTTTCTCATCTGAGCTTGGCAACATGCCGCTGCAAGAGCTCTCCAGTGTTCTGATGGCAATGGAGGGAGTGAAGGAACCTCCCACTCAGACAGCCAGTGCTCCTGCTAGCACAGCTGTCCCTGCTCCAGCTCCTGTCTCTGAGCCCCTAACCCAAACACACAGCAGTGTTGGAGGAAAGGCAAACCTGATTCAGCGCTCCAACACAGGTGAGAAATGGTTTGTCTGGGCATAGAAAGCAAGAAATATCAGAAAGTTTGTGACGTTTTTCTCGTGTTGAATAAGAGGTTGTATAAGTGCTGATGAGTTATTGGTCCCAGAAAATTTGGATCCTGCTGTTATCGATGAAATTAAAAACAGCATATCCAGATTAGGAAGCTACAGTATGATGTAATGTTACGCATGAATGCAACCCTTCTATCTGCGTGACTGCATGTCCTTGATACCCTTTTAATGGACTAAGTGAAATGCTAAATTGCCTGTAAGTGCTGGATTTGAGCCTGAAGGTGTTCAGTAGCCCAGCTGGGATTCATTCAGGTTATTGATTGTCAGATATCACTGCCTTAAATCACATGTTCTTTTTGTTGCAGGTGCCTCTGTTTCAGTGAGCTGTTATTTTAGTCATCTTATTTGTTTTGGGGATCCATTTCAAGTTTCTTCAGGACATCAGCCCCCCCCCCCCCCCCCCCCCCCCCCCCCCCAAATTCTTTCTTCCATCCTTCTTTTCATTTTATTTTTAACTGCACTTAAGATTTCCTCCCTTGTTCTGATTGGTTTCTTTACATGTTTCTTCATCCTCATCACCCATGCTGGTTTGTGATTGGCTGCGGTGTGTTATGTGGCTTCATGTGCCACTGACCTGTCCTCTGGCACTTCGCCTGCAGTGGGTGGCTCTCTCTGCTCTCTGGGTATGGGCACTGCCCCCCCAGGCCCACCAGCCCCTGGCAGGTTGCACAGGAGCATTTCCTGGGCAGGTACCGTCCACCACGTGTGTGACCCCACATCTATCTACCCCCCCCCCCTCCAAAAAACTCCTGGTGCAGTATATTTCTTCTCACTTGCACAACACAGCAGTCTGCAAGCACAGATTAGGAATCTTTCTTTAATTATATTCCCTGATTCATTTGAGTTAGATGAGAAGCTTCATACCAATCTCATATCTGTCTATGGTTTCTAGTGAGGCGACTGCTAGCAAAAAGAAGGGAATGTTGTTGATCCTGCTTTTAAGACCAGAAGCATTGGAGCTATGCAGAGTGAAGATATTAGATCATTACAAAAGCTGAAATGTAAAACAATTTTTTTGTGGCTTTATGGAAATTAAGTGTCAGAATTTTCTTTAATCAGTTAAATTGGACCGTGGTTATACGCCCTGATGATGCGGACCTTATGGATGCAATTGAGCATCCATACTTGCAGGATGGCTGCATAGTTTCTGCTCTTTTTGTAGTGTTAGAGCAATTTAAGCAGCAACTGTACTCTGCAGCAGACACCACAAACGAATAGTCACTGTTATTATATTCATCAGCTTACAGTCCCCTGTAAGAGTGTGTGTGTGGTTAGTCCATTGTAGTTTTGTGTGTCCAGATGAGTCTGAACAGTTACAAAATTACTGGCAGAATATCCATGCAGAGCCTCACGCCAGTGATGAATTTGTCTCACAACCTTAGAGTGCACTCGTGGAAACTATAACATGCCTGTTAAACACAATGCCTTGTGTTTACCAAATGCAAAGTGACGTTTTTCTTTGCATTACTCATGCTAACACAGTGACTAGAGTATTTTTGGACCATTTTCCAACCCAGAAATATTTCCCCCTACAACTACTTTCTATAAAAAAAATACAACCGCTAGCTGAAATAAATTCACTGTAACATTTTCAGACCTTGATATTCTTTTCTCCCAGTTCTCTATTTATTTATTTATTTATTTATTTATTTATTTATTTATTTAGCCTGTCTCTATGTAAAAATGAAATTGAAAGATGCCCTCAACTGGTGACGGTTTTCTTTTGCTATCTTCAGGAAAATCCAGTCTTTCGGGGATTCCTAGGAAATAGGCTTTTGTCACACAACACCTGTGTTGTTGAGCAACTTTGAGTTGTTGCTCTCATATTTAACAATTGACAGTTGTACAGTTTTTTTTCTTCTGAAAGTCATTACTGTAAAGTTGTGAGACAACTAATAAAGTCTTCCATTTTAAAAAAAAAAAAAATGCTGCGGTATAAAGCTTTTGGCAGTAGTTTTCGCATTTAACAGATATGAGAGTGAAATTGGTTTTCTCATCTAAGTTTAGACAAGAAAATTCCAGTGTTTTCCAAAAGGTCTCCATTTAATTTTAAGAAATAATGGGGAGGACCATCATTTTCCATGGATTCTCAAGCACACCAATCACATTGTGTTATGCGAAAGAACTGCTGTTGCTTCCTTAAAGATTGTGCAAGTATAGATACTCAGCATTTCTGCTTTACCATTAGTCTTCTATTAACACGGAGCGGGGGTTTCTCTTACTGCTAATGAAAACATGTCTGCGCTGGAATCAGTCAGCCAAATGACACCTAAAGATGAATCATGATTCAGTTTTTTGTTTTTTGTTTTTTTGTTGTTGTTTTTTTGGACATCTTCTGCATTACATTTTTTTCTTCCTGAATAAGTTTTCTAACCCTTCTGTTTCTGAAATATACTCCCAGGTTTTGACCTTTAACCTCTGACCCTCTGATGTTGTCAACAGAAAAGCCCAGACCTCATCTAAGCAACATGATGCACTTCCTTGCTTTACTGGTTAACCAGTAGGGTGATGAAGACTTTTTCTGAGCTGCAGTTTGGGGGGTCTTAAAAAATCAAATGTGCCTGCTTGTGATTGTGTTTCTCTTCTTCTTTGAATGTGTTGTTTGGGAGATGCAAGACTGGTCTGGGCTGCTGTTGCAGTAGCTGCCGTGCGTTTGGGATGAGATAACCAGCAGCCAAAACGATGCATGCAACTTGATAGAAAATGAGTAAACGAACTAGTGATGCTGCCTGCCGCACTGATAAATCTGCCTCTGATCTCAGTGATTTTATGTTGATGTCACTGTAGGTCATGATCTTGCACATGGCTTTGTTTCTTTTTTTTGCCTGAGATTGGTCATCAGAGAAGATGTATATGATTCTGTTACAATGACTTATTTGAATTATTGTGTGTTTAACCTGAATTGAGATTTTAGAGAGGATGTTTGTGAGGTGTTGTTGTCATGATTACTACTGACAGCTGATAAAATCTTTAGTCTTACCACCTGCATATTTGTGTATCTCTGATTGTGTGACTAACAGTGGACAAGACTGTGATTTGTGTGTCTGTGTGCGTGCATTGCTTTCATATACCTGCATTGACTTATAACCCACATGGTTGTGGCTGTATCCTCCTGTAGACTCTGTCGTGGTGCTGGAGGAGGGATCAGGAATTGCTACAGCAAACACGCCGCCTGAATGGCTGGGGAGTGCAGAGTTTGAGCCAATGTTGTCTGATCCAATCTTCATAGCTGCTGATAAGTTTACAAAGACTCCTCCTGAAACACTCAGCAGGGTAGGACCATGTTCACCAAACCACACACGCAGACTTAATGATGTCTTGTGCAGCATTAAACAAATCACCATGTGCACATCCATTAAAACACTTGTTGTGGCTTTACTGTCAGTGCCTGCACCTCAAGGCTGTTTATTCCATCATTTGCGTCACCTGTGCTATTTGATTATAAATTGTCAACTTTTTTTTTAAAGTGGCTTTCCTTTGCCACTGCTGTAATGGGTAGCAGCCAAGTGGAGTGCAGCTTCTGATGACTCACTTAGCAGCGCCTTTAACAACCAATGCTGTGCTTTGGCAACATGTTAAAACCATAAAACCATAGTTAAAACCTGTATATATATGTATATAAAAGATGGAAACAGCTTGCAGGTTCTTGTTGCAAAAGGAAGTCTGATTGTGTCATCCTACTGCTCACTTCTGTGACCTCAGAAAGGTCTTCAATGTTTAATGATTCAAAACAGCATGACCTTCATTTTCCAGATTATTTCAAGGAGGAATTTTGTGTCTCATTTAATGTCAAAAAGATGACAAAAAAGAGATGAGTTAGGGTATGGCTAATATGTGATTGACATGGTGGTTGTAGCTCAGGTGGCAGAGCAGATCAGCCACTAACCAGAAGGTTGGTGGTTCGATCCCAGGCTGCTCCAGTCTGCATGCCAAATATCCTTGGGCAAGATACTAACCCCATGTTGCTCTCTGATGCATCCATCGGAGTGTGAATGTGTATGAATGTTAGATACTTAAGCTTAGAAGTGCTTGTGTGAATGGGTGTGATTGGGTGAATGAATTACTTGTATAAAGCGCTTTGAGTGCTCAGACAGAGTAGAAAAGCGCTATATAAGAACCAGTCCATTTACCGTTACATGGCTATTTAGCTCACACCCTCCCTCTTTGTAAATGCTAATCAGGAGTTAAACTGGTGGGTGATGTCACAGTGGGGTCTGTGGTTAAAACTTGCATACTTTCATTGCAGTACTTTAAATAAACAGCTTTTGTTCCCAATTTCAGTCCTCCTCCACCTCAAGTCAGGATGATGAAAAGTCAACCCTGGAAGAAGTAAGTGAGGGAGCAATTCCAATCGATCAGCCCCCTTTTGGACCATCCACTCCAGGAAGCCAGGGGCCTGACCTTCCCTTCCAGACACACACTCAGTCCCAGGGTCATGGACTCAACAAGTCCAGCTCCTCTCCTGAGCTCCAGACATTACCTGAAGCTTTTGCCAAGGCTGCTATGGAGTCAGAAAGTGCGATGGTTGACACGTCACGGCCTAGAGCACCCTCAGACGGCATGCCTCAACCCCAGCAGCCCCAGGTTGTGAAAGAAAAGGTAGAGGGAAACACTGGAGTGGACACTAATGTAGCGGGAGGTCCAAGCCCAGCAGGTGAAGGCCAAGCTGTATCGTCATCTCAGAGTGGAGGAACGGGGATGAGGTTGTCTTTTCCACCAGCACCAGTACAATCTGCACCCATCTCCCCCAGTGGAGGCCACCGGCCCAGAGGTCACACAATCTCAGTCTCAGCCCCCTCCTCCAGGAGGGAGAGGCGGGCGGAGAGGGACTCTTATCACAGTCGACCTGGTCCCAGCAACACTGAGAAAATCTCTGGACTGAGCCCCAGGTATTACACGATTTATACAAGAAACTACTGCAGCTTCTGTGATGTGTTTCTGCTAAATTAATGATGCAATGTATCAAGTAAAGTCAGTAAGCTCATTTTGACTTGCAAGATCAAAAGTGTCACCCTGTCAGTGAGCAAATTTTTATTTTTTTTAAATTATGTGCTGCAACTGTGTTTTTAAAAAAAAATTTTTTAAGGTGATGAAAAATCAGAACGTGGACAGAAACTGCAATGCAGCATTTGGAAATAGTTATGAATACCTTCTAAGAACAGAGGCCGTGCATAGAGGTGTATTTCCAACCCCAGCTCCAAATAATTTGGGACATTGTTTAAAATATAAATACAAAAAAAATTAAGGATTAACCCATATTTTATTTAGAACAGAAAGCATGTCAAATGTTTAAACTGTCATTTCAAATTTTATGGCAACAACAGGCCTCAAAGTTTGGACAAGGCCATGTTTATCACTGTACAGCATCCCCCCCCCCCCGGACTGCAGGCCAGTTCAGCATCTGGACTCTTGTACTATGAAGCCATGCTTTTTAATTGATTCAGTATAGGGTTTCTCATTGTCTAGCTAAAATATTCAAGGCCTTCTCTGGAAAAAGGCTGAAACCTGTGTGTATACCTTTCAGCATTGCCGGTCCCTTTCCAGATGTTCACACTCCTAATTACATACACATTAATGCACCACCAATACCCTAATCAGATATTAAGATATTTGAAGTGAGTGCTGCTAACAAGCTGGATGTCCACGTTTTCCAAAAAGAATTTCAAATTTCCATTTGTCTGACCACAGAACAGTTTTCCCCTTTGCCTCAACCCATTTTAAATAAGCTTTGGCCCAGAAAAGATTGTGGTGTTTTTGGACCATGTACACATGTGGTTTCTTCTTTGTGGAAGGCACTGTATTCACAGTGATTTCTGGAAGTGTTCCTGGGCCCATGCAATGATTTCCATGACATAATCACACCTGTTTTTATTTCAGTGCCACCTGTAGGGCCTGAAGATCACGGGCATCCAATGTGGACTTTCTTCCTTGTCCTTTGGATATCTATAATATCACAAATTCTGAAAATCTGGAGAAACCTCTGTGCACAAAGTCTTTGGTATTTTATGCCGAGGACCATTATTTTGAAATTGTTCTGCAACCTCATCCAGATGTTTGAATAGAAATAGCAACAGATGTTTGAATAGAAATGTCTAGATATCTATTGGCATGGAAACAAGATATTTGGTACCAGAAGCTGTGTTGCTTTTATTTGGTTCCATAAATTGTGTTTGTAGTCCAGGTTCTGTTGACCAGTAAACATATGAGGTTCAATGAAAGTAGATTGCCTTTAATTTACATATCCATGTGTCTAAACTGACTTTCTTTCTTCTTATATCTTCTAGCTTTGTGTTTCTGCAGCTCTACCACTCTCCTTTCTTTGGGAATGAAGCCAACAAGCCACTTCTGCTGCCCAAAACTCAGGTAACCTGAATTCTCTCCTACACCTTCTTCTGGATCATACAGCGTGGTTTACATTGTGTTTTCTGTCGTAGGTGATTGACCGTGCAGTAAAGGTTCTGGACCAAATGCCCCCTTATGACACCCATAAAATTGGGGTGGTGTTTGTAGGAGCTGGTCAGGTGAGGATGTGCTGACTGTAGTTTTGCTAATCACTGCCGTATAATTTCTATATTTTCTGGCTTAATGTCTTGATCCTCTTCACTTTCTTTAGGTTAACAATGAAGTCGCCATCTTGTCGAACGAGTACGGTTCGAACCGCTACGCCTCTTTCCTCACAGGTCTTGGCAAATTAATCCATCTGAAAGACTGCGATCCAGACCAGATTTTCCTTGGAGGGCTTGACCAGTATGGAGATGATGGAGAGTTCACCTACTGCTGGCATGACGACATCATGCAGGGTGTGTGTGTGTGTGTCAGGAAAAACACACATACAGTATTTATTTATTTTTTCTTTACAGCCAGTCTGTAATTTGCATATTATAAATGAAATTGTGTCCCTGCAGCTATCTTTCACATAGCCACACTGATGCCAAACAGGGAGAGCGACAAGGGTTGCTGCAACAAAAAGCGACACATTGGCAATGATTTTGTCATGGTGGTGTACAATGACTCTGGAGAGGAGTACAAACTGGGCACAATTAAGGTAGACACACACGAGCACAGTAAAAGAATCTGAAATTTGCTGTTGATATTCTGTCCTTTAATGCCCATTTTCCCTTCCTTTAGGGTCAGTTTAATTTTGTCGAAGTCATTATAAAACCACTGGATTATGAATGTAACCTCGTTACCCTCCAGTGCCGCAAAGGTGAGCTAATCACTTATTTTTCGGATCCTGTTCTTAATTTTTGTCAGCTTTGTTTAACTTTAATGAGTTCTTCTTTATACCCTCTTTCAGACCTCGAGGGATTAGTAGACACAACGGTGGCAAAAATTGTTTCAGATCGAAACCTTCCCCTGTTAGTCAGGCAGATGGCTCTGCATGCAAATGTAAGTCTTTTATCTTCTTACATCTAGTCAAACACACTTTGCAGAGGTGACACACAGTCTCGACTTTTCTCTTTCTCCTCAGATGGCCTCTTTGGTGCACCAGTACAGAGCTAACCCCTCTGACGCATACGCCTCTAAGTGGCTAGCAAGGTTACGACACATCAAGAGGATCAGGACCAGGGTAAGACCAACATGCAAAGTCTTCCTCATCACCACTACTTGCACTTAATTTCTCTAATTTCAACCCGTTTTACCTCATTGCTATAACTTAGGCTCAAGAAGCCATCCAGTCTCGCTCAACTCCCGGGATTTCACTGACCCAAGGGCAGAGCAAACCTTTGTCACAGAGCAGTGCTCCAACAAATGTGGAAGCCACCGGACAACGAAAAAGACTGGTGTCCACTGTAGACGATTTCACAGATTTTGTTTAATTTCTTGTCGAGAAATTAAACAAAAGACGAGACAAAAGTATATGAAGTGAATAAAACAAACTAAAAACTTAAAAAGTGGCATTGTGCTCATTTTTGATCCACAAAGAAGGAATGAAAGCCCAAATGCACCTTTGAGCATTCTTAAGTCTGAGTCAAAGCAGGTATAATTATTTTTCTAACAATATACCTAATGGTAATGTAAAAGAGTTTACTCATGAATCAGCTGTCCCCCCCTCAGCGTTGGAGTACCCTGTAGTGAGTTTCTGCCCATTGTTTAGATGACTGTCCAGCTGTTCTACTGCTTTGGGTCAGTCTAACTTCTCTAAGGGAGCTGTTTTTAGTGAGAACAGAAAAATCCTCCGTACACAAAAGACAAAGGGAGAAATTTGTTCCAGAAATTTTTCCCAGGAGTTAGTGAAGGCCAGAGACAGAGGGAATTTTAGACACTATAAACATGATAAACTGTTACTGCTGTTTATGTAACTCCTGGATGTGTAAATAAGAAACGTTTTTTTTTCTCTTCAACTTTTCAACCTACACACTGATTATAGGATTGGCATCGACAAGTACCAAACATTGCGGCTAATTTATCAGCAAATCTGAACGTACTGCACAGGGTGGAAACCAAGTACTTAAGCTAGCATTTGACATTTTAATTTTTTTTTTTTTCATTTTGCAAGAAGTTCAGCTGTCAAATTCTTTATTCGACTTTGTCAAGTGCAAAAGCATAAGAAGTGCGACAACTGCAAAATACAAACAAGAGCATACAGACAAATCTTTAACGCTGCTTTAAACAAAATGCATTTTACAACAGAAGACAACGGTGAGCTTTGGCACTAAACTGTTACACGCAGAGCAGGAATATAATGCTGGTGGAGGTGGGAACTGCCGACTGCTGTGCTGTTTGGGGTTTTCTATTCGCCGTCAAAGAGTAAACTGATTAGAAGCTTTGGCTGTAGTACTTTGATTACACCAGTGCAACATAAAACTCTGAAGTTTGCAACACCAGTGCTCGACCTATGTGTACGTTGCTGCAGCACAAAAATGACTGATCATGAAAAGCAAAAATATACATCACAAAGCGCTAATATATACAGAAATGTACACGCAGAAGAAGAAAAGTTCCCTTTTTAATTTCTTTTTAAGAGCACCTGTAAGTTTGCTTTATGCTCTTTAACCGTGGTGTTTTGTATGAAAACAGAGGGGAAAAGATGTAGGCTAAATTAAACTGACATGGCTATAAGTACCTTTTTAATGTTATATATTTTAATTAAATCCAAGGCAAATTCGATGATGTACAACTTCTAGAGCCTTGCTGAGAAAAGGGAGGGAGGGAGCAGGGGTCATGTTGACCATAGTTTCATATTTTAACTTCTACATATCAGCTTTTGTTTTTCCTGGACTTCCTTACAGGTTTTAAGAAAAGGTTGGGTTCCCTGAGATCTGCCCGCTGGACACAAGAAGTGCGCATGTTGAACAAAATAAGGCAAAAACATCATCACCACAAAGAGCAAACAAAAGTACAAACAACTGCAAGCTACTGCTTGATTACTTTGATAATACTTACTAGGACGTTTCTATAATGTTGCTGTAAAGGCATGACTTGACACATGAGAGTTAAATATGGGGTTTGATATCAGCTCCATTAAAGAATAAAGTGCAAGTACAAGAATGAATGAATTATTTAACTGGTGTGGTTAAAATCTCAGGATGCATAAATGATACAAAAGCTTTGGCGATGTTTATAATTAAGATACAGTATGAGTGAAGCTTTCTCTATTGGTTTGGATACCAAGCTTATTATTTAAACCACACCTCATTACAAAAACAAAACAATACTTCAGAACAAAAGTGCTTTTAAATTGCTTCCATATGGAACAAAACACAACAAAAAATAAACAATTAGGAAAGATAATCAGACGGAGTCATTATAGCTTTATAATGGGAGAACTTGTGTAAATGCTCAGTATTGTCTATTTCCTTGTCTACAATTAGACTTATCTGTTCAGTATCATTTTCTTCACACTAACCTTGCTTTTCACTTGCTACACCTCCTTGTCATTGGCTCCTCTGACTTCATCTCTCTCATCTTCAGTCTCTCCAATCATCTCTGGAGAGGACGGATATATTTGCGCCCTGAATAACTGGCTGCTGGAATCCCAGCAGCATTATGTCTGTCTGTGTGTGTGTGTGCGTGCATGCATGTATGTGTGTGTGTGTGTGTGTGTGTGTGTGTTTTCACCTGTAACCCAGTGGGCTGAAGTGTACCACACGTTCCTATTTGCTGATATGTTGTCTACAGTGTTATTTCTACACATGTGTACACCTGCATGTGCGTATATCTGTGTGCGCCTGCATGCAAATTTGGGACAGGCCACAGGTACCCATGGTGACCAAAAATAGAAAACGTAACAGTATGTAGACAGGTAACATAATTGAGAAATCACACGTTCTTTCTGAGATACACAAAAGTCTGATTGCATAGAATGCTTTCAGTTCATTGAGTCTTATGGTGAGCACTTTTCTGCGCTCCTGTCAACGACCCCAGGTAACCTCCAGGGTCACATGGGATCAGGGGGCAGTTTTGGTCCGGGGAAAACAATGAAAGGAACTTCTTGGTTTCACTGCTGACTTTATGTCCCCTTAACCAGCTCAGGTAGCATCTGGTGACCTGCACCTTGAGAACTGAGTCGGGATTGAGACGGATCACTGCTTATAAACCTGCAAAGTCTTATTTTATTGCTCTTTTCGTCTTTCAGTACCCCAAACTCCTTGTTTGATCCTTCTTGATTCTTTCCTGTAGCTCATCCTTGTACTTTCACATCTATTAGTTTCTGTCCTTTCCTTGGGTTTAGAGAGTGACATCTGAAGACAAAACCTGCTGCCCATGAGCGCCTCCTCTCGTCCTTAACCCATCATTTTAAGCGCACATCCTTTTTCTCCACCTTTCACTTCTTTCATCCGATCTGCTCATATTTATCTAAGTTGGGTGCACTTTGTTTTTGAGGGATGGGGGTTTGCGTTTCCGTTTGAGTGTAGGGATCGTGGTTGTGTGAGCTGGGTGGTTGAACAGGCTTGAGGAAGGGAGGGTCTCTCTCTCTGCAGGAAGATCCCAGTTGCGTGTAATAGGCGTAGATGGCAGGGAAGGGGTGGGTGCACGGGTGGATGGAAGAGCTGTAGGTGTTTTTGGTGGCGGGACATGGGAAGATGTGTTTGCTGATGACAGGGGGAGAGAGGAAGAATCGGAGGACTTATCTGTGACTGGTGGGGGTGGAGGCACACTGATTGAAGGTTTGGCAGACAACTGGGGAACAGGGGGGTTTGTAGAAGCAGAGGAGGGTCGGGGCTTCAAAAAGGGAACGGGTGTAGCTACAGGAGTCTTTTTGGGGATGGCAGCACTGCTCCCACATTCTTTTGGAAGTTCACTTTTATCTACCTTTTTCCCCTTCCTGCTCCCTTTGTTCTTTTCCTTGCCACGCTTTTGTTCTTTCCAGGCTTCCCCTTCCCCTCTCTGTCCCCCTTCGCTCCTACATCCCTTAACTCTATCGTCTCTCTCCCTCCCTCTACGCCTCCTTTTCCTTTGGGCTCGCTCCAGTTTACACTCAATGTGGTACAGATCCTCTGTCGTCACAGTGACACGGTCAAGCTGTTGCAGCAGAGCATCCAGGGTGGGGAGGAGTCTCCTCAGAGAAGCTTCGGTCTCTGCTCTCTCTCTCCAGCTGTTACCTCCCACCACCACTCCTGGGCCAAGGCCCAAGCCAAGCCCCAAGCCAAGTCCCAGGCCGATACCCGGGGCTTCTGTGAGGCTGCAGGGGCTTGAAGACGCTGGACGCCACGAGGCCTCAGAGCCAGCATCAACACTGTCTGGGGTAGGTGGGGAGTCTGGACTGTCCAGAGGAGGCAAGCACAGGGACTTGCAGTCGCTGGTCGAGGATGAACGGGACGGTGGGAGCTCCATACCTTCGAAACGCACTTTGTGGCGAAACTAAGGAGAAAAAACACGATTTTGGGTAAAGCATTCAGATTTTGTTTTGTTCCAATAGTATATATGGAAAAAGTTAATCTATAAATAAAGCAACAAAAATTGTCCTTAACAGATATGAATTAGAATTTGTACCTCTTTGGCCCGACTGAGTCCCATCCACATTTTGAGTCTTCTGAGGAACAGTTCGACCATCTCGTAGTCTTGCAGATCCACTGCTGGGCGGTATAGTTCTGCCCGTGCACGCCGGTAGTTCCTCAGTAAGACAGAAGTGACCAACCACAGCAACACCAGGCGAAATATAGCAAAGCTTATGTGGAACAGCAGTGCAGAGAAAGTGCTGGGACCAGTAATTATCCAGGCAGGACGCCATGACAACAAGCCACACCAACCGGAACCCAGTAAGGACAGACTGGCTGAGATCAAATTGCTGTAGCCGTCCAACACAGAGTGGAAGAGCTGGAATGGGAAAAAAAAAGTTTCCTTTTTATCAATTCTAAGACAATATTTGAAAAATAATAAATGTAAACATTACTGATGCAGTATGAAGAAAAGCTACTGATCATTTACATGTGATGGGCACATGATGAGGGGTAGGCAATGCATTTTTTTGGAATAGGGAACTCAAACCAACCGGTTACCAGTTGGTTGTATTTCGGTTATATCCCTATATAAAAATTTTATTTCAAATCTATGAGGTTCTGGCTGATTCTGAATGTAAATATTCAATATGAATTTAAGATGACAATAGAATAGAATAGCCCTTTATTGTCACATGTACAATGAAATTGTGGGTGCTCCACACTAGTTGTGCAAGAATAAAACTGAAATAGTAAGATGGCAGGAACAAATAACAAACAGGAGAAATATATACTAAACAAGAGCAAGGCACACAATAGAGGAGGGGTTGCAAAGTGCTTAGAAGTAGTGCAAACGACTTGATGTAAATAGAGGCCGTGTCTGAGTGATAAGGGTTACTCGGACTATGGCTCAGATTGGTAGGGTGGGTGTGTGCGTGTGTGTCCGAATGGCCCAGGGGAAGAAGCTGGTTGTGAGTCTGGAGGTCTGGCACCTGATTGACCTCAGCGGATGG